ATAATCAAATTTGATGAAAGTAATGTATCAGAACAGAAAATTCCTCAAAAATTGATACAGAATTTAAGTAAAATAATCGACCGCTACAAAATACCTCGATAGCTCAAAAGTGAAAAATGGCTACATATGTATTTTCTGAGAAATCTAAGCAAAAAAAAAACCCCTAAAAAGTCTTAAAAGTAATAGAAAATAAGCCAACATTTGATATAAGTAATGGCAAATACATTTGTAATTCATTATTTTTGTGATGAAGTAAGTGCCTTTATAAACTAAAAATGCAATTTTCTCAAAATTATTGTTTTCAAACTGCGTGTACCTTTCTTTCAGAATCAACAGAATGAATGTACATGCAATTTTCAATGCACAAAAATAATATCTAACTATATATAACATATCTACTTTTTTGGTGATTTTCCCAAAATATTTTGCTGAAAAGCAGTTATCGTAAAAAAAATGACAATTTTCAAAAATTTCAAAGTGATACTTTTACGATGATTTTTTTTGAAAAAAGTAAACACAAAATATTTGAAACATTTTACCATTTCCTTATGTACCCAAATGTACCCATGCGTACGCAGAGGTCGCTGTGTATATCCAGCCTGTATAAATATCGACGAACCACTTCTGATGTCATCAGTTTACGAGATGACTTACTAGTTATGATATTAATTATTTTACGAATCAAGAGCTATATATAGTGGATATGAGGCAGTAAGCGAAAGTGGTGGCCGATCTAGGCAAGTTTACGAAAACCGATACCTCAGTACCAAATCATAAGAATTCCTCAGCATCAAATGATTCTCCAAATGGTCAGTATCGACCCCCAGGGTTCCAATACAACCCGCAAGGAGTCTGCGTCAGCGAAAAATAGCGCTCTGCGATAGTTGCTTTCTTTTAAACCAGATCCTGACTAAAAAAAAAAAAATTAAATATTTCATCAAATCAAGATCAAATTTTAACTATTTAATAGATTTATTTAATAAGTTAATTTTAATTTGCATGTACAAGGGTACTGCACAACTTTCAACTTTTCTTGCCAGAATAAAGCTAAAAAGGTGTAATATTGGACGTCGCAAATTATCCCAGTTTCTCAATTGGCCGTAGACAATCTTCAAGGAAAAAGACGTTTTAAACTATGTTCAATATTGAAACATCTATGATTTAGATTTTAAAACTATGTTTAAGAATGCTTTGACTATTGTAATTACCACAGTAGGCAAAGAATTCATCTGGTCATATTGAAAACATGTCATATTTTACCACAGGAACTGATTGGAATAGGTAGCAACGGAGACCTTACAGCAAAGTTTAGAAACAGATGTCAGTAATTTTTGCTTTAAAGAAACATACCTGTTATTTATCCCGAATTATGGAGTATTGTGAGGAAGTTTTTAATTGCTGTTCCTTGTGGGAAAGAGCTTCAGTGTGGTTGTCAATCTCCAAAATAAAAAAGTGTGTGTGTACTTATGTACGCACGTAAGAAGTTATACTTCTTTGGCGTAACAAGATTAAAATCTTTCTAAAAATCTTTAGCAGGGTAAGCTGGACAAAGGGTTAAAGACGGTCACGAGCAGAGTTGAAAGATATTAATCTTCAGTCAATTGGACCAGGCAAGCCTGACATAATCACGATTTTAATAAATTTAAACACCCACGCACAGGGACAATAGGACCAATAACAGGGGGGGGGTATCATACTGTATCTGGATATGAAGAGAGCCGAATGTGCATCTGAGATCTCATATTGAATGACTCGGCGGGAAGAATCGTACCTGAGAAAATTAAGACATCCGCCTGAAGAGCCTCCGAGTTATGGTCATTTTAAAATAATTAATACATTTAAAACAATTAAATAAACTAGAAGCAGTGAACTCAGCAACTCAAAACTGGGCCTGGTAGTGAGCAAACACAAGAGGAATAAATTAGAACCGGTACGGAATCTGTAGTTTCAAATGGGGCGGTGCTAGCTCGGGAAAGGAAAAATAAATTAACTCCCACCGGAGTGGAACAACTGTGACCTAAATGGTCCCGTACATCCTAACGATACACAGAGTAGTAGGTGATTCCAAAGTTTCATCCTTCTATTTATTTAATATCGTTACGTCATCAAAAGATTGAACCCTGTAGGAAAAACATGGGGATTCTAATTTTAGTGATAACACCACCCCCTAAGCGCATTATCTACACACGACCTATAACAGATGAAACAGCTCAACAAGCAGAATCTATGATCTGAGTTTCATTAACGAATCTCAAAAATACTCGGAGCTATGCGGGATTTTAAAAAGTTATAACTTTAAAATAATTTTAAAATGTTAAATATAGGTGAAGAAATAGGGCTATGGTCCTGAAAAAATATATCTAGGATGCTCATAGGAAGAACAATCGAATCAAGCCGGTGCGGTCGACCAAGGTGGCATAGGGTTCAAGTTATTTATGGGGAAGCCCTGTAGGGGGGGAGGGAAGCAGTTCCATGTCAAGCTCGTGCTAATACGAAAATAAGGCCGACCACCAAAAATCAAGTTCCAAGCTGAATTCCTTAGGGGAAAGGGATGAAATGTTTTCCAGTCCCCATAGGATTAACATGGGATCATGATATTTTAGTGCTTAAGCCCTCCCCATGCCTACACAATGGGGATGAAGCAGATGACTGGATGGGTCTCGAGAAGTGGAGCGCATGGTTCAAATCTCAAGTCTGGGACTCAAACAGGAGCCAAGATATTGTGAATTTAAACAAATTTAAAAAGTTTAAGACAGTTAAAAACTATGAAAGAAATAGCCCTATGAGCACATAAAATTATAATAACTGGAAGAGCAGATAGAGATCGAATGAGCCAGGTTCTAATAGACTGCGAGTCTCAAGTGCCCAGATATTGGCCAAAAAGCTGTAGAGAGGGAATGCACAGGGGGGATGCGTCCCAACAGTTATGGTTTATATAAATAGTTATTACAATACCCCAAATATCAGTCCCATAGCACCAAAAAAGAGGCATGTAAAAATATTAGACAACGGCGTGTGCGCGCATCGTAAAAATTTACCCTCATCCTTTTTTCCTAACGCCCAAAAAGAAGGATAACTTCAAAAATAAATATACGAATACAAAAGGCTCTTATAATTTGCTACAATGTAATAAATGTGTTTATGTTCATCGCAATGCGTTCGTAGTAAATATACATCTATAATCGTATACTTGCAAATTGTTATTTAAATAGGTAAACTAATACACTGGCCTCAAAAAGTTAAGGTACAACATGTTTTTCGAAGCTCACCATAAAAAAAAAATGGCAGTAACAATAAAAACGCATAGTTTACATGAATGATAATAACGAACTTTAAAAACATTAATGCAAAAACGATTGCTACAACTTTTTTATTTTATAGAAAAAGAACGTATATTTATGAGTGAGAGAAAAAATATGCAAATATCAAGCTTTCGTACTTTTGTGTGTAAGTTGTGTTGATTTTCAACAGTTGTTGGCAGTTTCGGTGACAATAGTCAATAGAGTTTAGAAAATGTCTCAGAGACGTCGTTTACCCAATTCGTTAAGGTGGCGGGCAGTTGGATGAATGGAAATGGGATTGTCACAGGCTGATGCTGCCAGACGTCTCAATGTGTCTCTTAGTGTTGTTCAGCGACTTTGGGATCAATACCAATCCGAAGATTCTGTGTCCAGAAGACCTGTTCCAGGCCGACCACGAGCTACAACACCTGCAGAAGACCGTTTTCAGCTCTTTCGGCACGAAGGAGAAGAACCACTACTGTGCCGCAGCTCGTTGCAGACCACTTTCAAGCATCAGGAAGAAGAATCTCCGCTACTACGGTGCGAAATTGTCTCTCACAATGCAGGTCTGTATGCAAGAAGACCAGTTGTGTGCGTTCCCAACGGACGACAGCGAAGGAAACGCTTATGCTGGGCAAGAGAACATGTTTCTTGGACGCAGCAACAATAGGCTTCTGTGCTGTTCACAGACGAGTCCAGATTTACAATGGAGAGTGATTCAGGGCGTCTACTGATCTGGAGGGAACAGCGCACTAGATACCATCAATCCAACACTGTTGAAAGACACAGTTATAGAGGTGGTGGAATCCTGGTTTGGGCAGGGATCTCGCTCGGTGGCCACACTGACCTACATGTGTTCCATGGAGGAACCGTAACTGGTCTTAGATATCGGGATGAGACCCTTGATCCACATGTCCGCCCATATGCTGCTGCTATTGGTAACGACTTCATTCTGATGGATGATAATGCACGACCTCACCGAGCTCCGGATTGTTGAGGAGTATATGGAGGATCCCGGTTTGGAACAAATGGAATGGACAGCTCGATCTCCAGACCTGAATACGATAGAGCATCTTTGGGACTATCTTGGCAGAGAGGTTGCTGCTTTAAATCCTCCCTCCAAGGTCGTTACATGAGCTGAAACAAGGCTTACTCTGTGTCTGGTCTTCGCTTCCTATTCCGGTGTCCGACAACTTAATAAACAGCATGGGAAATCGATGCCGCCAATGCATTCAAGTTAGGGGTGGACACATTCTATAATAGAACCCATTTTTGTATTGTTTTTATGCCATTTTACCACATAACACTGTGATGTGCTGTTTTCTCAAGAATGGACTTTTCCGCAGAGATTGCTTTTTTTGTTATAAATCGTTTTTGCAATACACTTATACAAATTTCTATGACACATTCAATAAAAACTATTTAATGCACATATCCTCCAAATGTTTTGTTTCTACATTCATTCATTTGTAAATTAGACACAAAAACCCGGTTGTACCTTTAACTTTTGAGGCCAGTGTATTTACTCTTATGTTTTATGTACATGAAACACAACTTAAAGATTAATTTACTAATTCTTTTTTTAATTTCCTGTTTAATGTTTGCTTTAATAACAAAGAGTGTCAAACAAGTGCATCAGAGAAGCTCCGTAGACGAAGGACGATCTCTCCTACTAGTAGCGACGTCACAAATCAGCGCAAAACAAAGGTTCGCTGACACGGAGGGTATAGCTCAGTGGTAGAGCATTCGACTGCTAATCGAGAGGTCCCTGGTTGAAACCAAGGTGCCCCCTACTTCAGGTAAGTGAAGAGAAATAATTTTGAGAATTTCGAATGTATGGGAATGAGATCTGTCTCGTTCTGTATATTTCTAGACAAAGCATTTTCATATCCGTTCCTACGGAAAGCAAAGGTTCGCTGACACGGGGGTATAGCTCAGTGTTAGAGCTTTCGATTGCAGATCGAGATGTCCTCGATTCAAACCCGGGAGCTCTCTTCTTAAAGGAAATGAAGAGAACTATTTTTTGAGAAATTTGTATGCGGGAATGATATGTCCCGTTCTAAATATTTCTAATCAAAGCATTTTCGTACCCGTTCCTATGGAACGCAAAGCAAAGGTTAGTTGACGGGGGTATAGCTTAGTGGTAGAGCATTCGACTGCAGATTGAGAGGTACCCGGTTCAAACCCGGGTGTCCTCTTCTTCAGAGAAATATCTTTCTGAGAATTTCGAAGGCGGCAATGATTTTTAACTTTCTGTATATTTCTAAACAAAGCATTTTCGCATCCGTGATGGTTTTGCGTAACATGTGTGACGATGTGCGCGCGCATCGTAAAAGCTCCCCCTCATCCTATTTCTCTAAAGCCCCAAAAGAACTTTAAAAATAAATAAATAAAAAGACTGGATAGAACTAACTGATAAGATTTATTGTAAAACCTGATAAGATTGATGTTAGATGTCGAAATTTTTTTATTGAAGCACAAGGATCATCCTTCCCATAATAAACATTTGCTTGTTGATCAGCTATTTTGAGTATTAGTTATATTTTACATTAATTATTATATTTCTTATGTTTTCTAAGCAATATGCTTTACTATAGTTAGAAATTTAAATCTTTAAAGTGAGTAGCTCTATACCAGCTGTCAAAAAGACATTTAAGTTGATAGCTTTACGAAAATTCAATATAAAGTAACCAGGGGTCTATCTAAAACTGAAAAATATGGCAAGAGGTCTATGAGACAAAAAAGTTTGGGAACCTTTGCCTTTGAGGGTTATTTATTCATTATATATCATATTCTTTCTTGCATATTTATTTACTCACAGAATATTTTCTTGGTGTCTCTTGAAGAAAAAAATCGATGAACGACGTAAGCTGACAGAAAAGTTGCATCCCCCACAGGTGTATAATAAACGACCGCCAAAAACGACGGAAACTGTCGTTTGATAGCAAATGGTTTAGACATATTTCAAATGGGCTTTACCCACAGTATTCTACGTAAAAGAGAAATGTCTTGCCCATAAAACAATGCAAATCAGAGGGAAAATATCTTTGCCTCCGTCGAAGTTTTCTAAAGACCTAACCGGTGCTTTATGTTTTACAGGCGTGCTTTCGTCTATTTTCTTGTGAACAGTTGCAAAGAAAAGCAATAAAACATCTTACCTGCACAATTTTAGCATTTTCCTTTTTGGAATATTTGAAAATACGGAATACTTTTTTCCTTAAATCTTTTTTGTTAAAAAATTGCACCATCATTTGTTTATGCATTCTATGCCCATTTTCTAGATGTGGAAATGATTATTTGATTAATTTGCTTTGATTGTCCAGTACAAGTCTTAAGGCAACTATGAAGCATATTAGACAACATTGTAGTAGATGTATTAGACAAAATATTCCTGAAGATTCTAAATAAGACGTTTAATATAATCCATACGTAGGAAAACAATGAAACTGGATTCGATAGAAACGGAAAAAAATAGCTGTGTTATACATTAATTAATTAATTTTTTATTTCACGCAGTCATTTTTGTTTTTAAATATAAAATCGAAGCCTGAATATGAATATATTGTAATTATAAACTTCTACAAAAGCTATCTACTTATTTTTTTAAATTTTTTTGAAGAATAATATGTATAATCCAGCGTATAACGCGCACTTTTCACTCAAAAAATATCGAAATTTAAGGGTGCGTGTTATACCCCAGGTATAAGAATGATAGTTTTAAAAATAATAGAGGAGATGAGTAATAAAATAATTAAGCTTCTACATAGATAGGAATACTGCTTATTTAAAATAAATGACATACATTATGAACAAAACGTGGATGGTAGTTCTCTCTCTCTCTCGAAGAGTATTATATTTTCAAAAACCTGGTACAATACTTAGTAGAAATGACTCTAAAACACAAGAACATTGTTCACGTGTATTTCAGGTTTCTTCCTAAAAAAAATGATGCGCGTGTTATACGACGAATATAACTAAGAATTAAAAAAAAATACAGTTTGAAACTATAGGTGCGTGTTATACGGTGGGATTTATTGTAATAAAAAGACAAACTGTTCTTGTTTGTTCACCACATGAATAAAGTTAATCGAACATAGATTTGTAAAAGTAAATAATGTTCTAAAATTAACTAAAAATTAATACCCTTGTTATTAATGTGAAATTTACGTAGATTGATGTTGTTTATCTTAAGAGCTTATTCTTGAAATATATATCTTATTTAAAGAATTATATAATTAGACATGTAAATATTTATTTCGTTGCTAACAATTCATTCGATTTATCTCCATTAACATGATCTTACTAGTGCATCGGAACATACGCGCGCGCGATTGAATTTTTTACTAAAAAGTTGACAAACAAAAATTATTAACAAAACTAAAGAGTAGATACTGTAAAATCCGGCTCATAACGCGCACTTTTTACACACAAAATAAGAATGGAATTTACGGGGGCTCGTTATACGATGGGTATGAAAATGATTGCTTGAAAAATGAAAGAAATGATGAGAGAATAGAAAGAAAGAAAGACTTCTACATAGATCGAAATAAAAATAACATTTCTTATGAACTAAAGGGTTGTATTTCGAAATACTATTTTTTTCAAAAGTTCATTTAAAATTAATGCTAAATAACATTTCTTTTTCATGAACCCACTGAGTTCTTTCAAAAAAAGCTGAAAGGGCCACCGCATTTGTATGTTCCAATTTAAAAATTAAAGAAAGGAAAAATAACATAATAATTATCCTAGTACTTAATATTTTTTTGTATACTATTTTTTCAAAAAAAAAGTGCATTATTATTGCATCCAGTACATTATTAATGTATATTGTGATTGATAAGGGGGCGCCAATATTGAAAGTTTGAGAAGCACTGCTGTAATACTACCTTCAATAAACGACTTCAAAACATAATCGTTGCGTACGTACAATTCAGGTGTCTTCGTAAAAGAGGAGGTGCGCGTTATACGTCGGATCTTAATACAATTATTTAAGTTCAGTTATGAAATGGTTATAATCATTTTGAATTATAGTATAATGTTCTCAGTTTTTCGTGCATAAAGACGAATGCATTTTAATGATACTTATATAATTCTGTAGATGAATTAATTTTTAATACAATGGAAAAATACACAATCATGGCCGCTTTCCCACTTAGACATGCTAAGCACATGCCTACGGCGTAAAATATTTAAGAGCGAAAAAAATTGGAGGGTGAAAAAAAAAGAAAAATTAAAATTACAGTCCAAACGTACCACTAATTAATGAGTCATTAGAGAAGTATTTCTGCCATGAGAGTAAAGAAAAATGAGATCTACTACGGAGGAAGAAAGGCTTAACAATTTGATGCTGCTGTGCACTTAAAATTTTATTACTATGGTAATGGATTACAATGAAACCTTTAATGATTTTGCAATGAGCGAAGCTCGAAGAAAACCCTTTGTTGCACAAGTATATTGACAGAGACTCAACGAAGTTTAAAAATGTCTGCAAGTAAAGATAGTAAACTAATAAGCGATGACAAAAAGATAATAATTATCCAATTGAAAACAGTTCATACACTGATATATGTTCCATACTTTAACGGAAACGATTGTATTAATTTAATGTACTAATTTAGAAAAGGGCGGTGGGTAGTCAGTGATGCCGTAAGGTAAGAAAGACAAAAGAATGGCCAAACCTGGCACTATTCTTTCCTTACGGTTGCCTGTTTCCAGACCACGACCCGGCGGGTCCGTAAGTGGTGGATAATGGCAAGTCTCCAAAAAGTAAAAACAAAGAAAGGGAAAAAAGAGGGTTAAGGAGAAATCCCCCCATCCCTAAGTCAAAACTGGCAAGTAAAGAACTGAAGGAAGGGGTGGGGTACTCTGGAAATTGGAGGGGGGCAATTTGACATGCCTAGGGTGCAGAAATTAATAACAGCCCTATACACAAGGTTAAACTTAAGTTAAATTTTATGTCTTCGTGGACAACAACAGCTGATTTGTTTTAAAAACTAAGTAGCTAACTTGTATTGTGCATCCTTTATTATGAACACATAAAATCCTTAATGCTTTAGGCTTTTACCAGATTTTCAAACCGAGGTACCTAAATGATTTTTCTAAACTTGATGAGTTCACTGTGGGTTTAGTAATTTCTGGTGATACACACACACACACACACACACCATCACTGGAACACATTAACGATCTTTCCCTATCTTTGACCTTCCTTTTTGCCAAATGATGCTAATTTCTTCGTTCCTTGCTTCACTTCATTAGATACATTGGTAACAATTAGGCAGCATAGACTTGGTTGCAAATAGTTTAAAGATAGTTTGGCATGGTTAGATCAAATATGGTACTTACGTTAATGAAACAAACCAATCGATTGTTTTTGTGAATTCTGTATTGCTGTTATCAATTTAAGGTTCTTTCTAGAATAAGTGAGAACTTTAGTAATATGATTTGAATGAGTTCCAAGTTAGAAAGAAAATCGGCATTTCTAAAGACATAAGTCTCAAATATTGTACAACAGTGCATATTCCTTTTGTGTCCAACATTTAATACTTTGGTTGAATATTTTCGTCAAATCCATTCTAGTGCGGTAATTTGTTTTCATGTTTTGTATTTAGTTGTGGTCCTAAAATATTTTCAGAGACGTTTGCAGCTTTTAACAAAAAGCCTTCGTAAACTTGAAATAACTTTTCAGTATTATATAAATAAATTTATTTTGCTTGATTTTTAATACATATTACGCAAAACCATGGATTGATTATTGTGAAAATTGTTGATGCTTCATCTTTTTTGCTTAAAAAAATTCAGGAATTCACGTGATTTACAAATCTGAATTAATTTACAATGATTCTTGGCGAAAGATCATGTAAGAAACATTAGCTCATAAGCAACAACCCACACCAGTAAAGTTTATAATGTACAAAAGTGTTCTCTTTTTCAACCACAAGGACCTCAACTTTTATATTTATATCAAGCCCAATTTTAGAAAAGTTTAAAGCAAA